AAGCATACCTCTCTGAACTTACGTCCCTGCAGTTCTGAATCCGCCCCGTACCTGGGCTGCATCATACCAGAGAGCCTTCCATTCCATGTATTGTCCCATGTTGGGAAGCACTGCTTTCACTGTCGTCTGCCAGTCAGTGGGAGTCATGGCAAAATTAGCAAGCCTTTCCACCTGTAATGTGGTAAAGTTAGCATTGACCCCATAATTACGAACGGATTCGGCCAATTCTTTGATTTGATTGTAATCTACGGGGGTATGTACTCTTCCGCCTTCCGCATTCTCGAATACTGGAAAAGCTACTTGTATTTTTCTCCGTTCCTCTAAAGGTAAAAAGGAGTCAGTACCAGTATTCAGCCGAAGCTCATACTGCGGAGGCGCTGAGGGGCATGAGCCCGCCGGATTTATAGGCGGTGGCCTCACATTCATTTTTGTTTTCAGTGGCCGGTGTCTATCAGGGTGATATCTTTCTTCCTCATACCGTGCCACCTCCTCCTCTAGACCACCTTCTTCGCTAGAATACAGAGTGTCAGAATCAGAATTATCTAGCTCCAAGGCTTCTAGCTCTACTGTAGGGTATAGACTAGATTCTGGCTTTTTCTTTTTCTTAGATTTGTTAGGGGGTGAATGATCACTCCCTTCTTTCTCTCCCCCTTTTCTTAACTTCTTGGGGAGGGCCTTTTTTCTTAGACATGTCTTTCCTTTTGCGAGCTCCCATTCTCTCACTCCGTTCAGTTTCTGACATGCTATCCTGAACTTCCTCTAAGGTTCCCTGACTTTCTATTATAGCAGGGTGACAGGCCTCATCCTCCAAGCAGTTTTTAACTAGCTTCCAAATGGCTTTGGTACCTAAGTGGAGATCTCCTTCTGCATGCTTCCTGTCTAGTTCTTTACCTAGCTTGTTCCATGAGGCCACAGTGAGGGACCCGGAACAAGCATACCATGGTGCCACTCTATCTACCTCCTTCACAAAATTTTGAAGTGTTCGTGGTGCAATTTTAAGATCTCTTTGTTTTAGCACAGTCTGTAGGGCAGTAACCACTGACTGTGACAACCCCATCGCGCTAGCGGCTTATCTAAAAACGGCGCTCAACTCCGTTACCAGACTGACAGCACCAGACTGACAGCACCAGACTGACAGCACCAGACTGACAGCACCAGACTGACAGCACCAGACTGACAGCACCAGACTGACAGCACCGTTCTGTCAGCACCAGCCACGATGAAGGAGAAGGACAAACAGGACTAGCACCAAAGCCTCCACTGACCCGTCCCACGGTGATGACAAACTAAGGCCAAAGTCGAGAAAGGGGGTATTCAGGATAAAGCATACCTCTCTGAACTTACGTCCCTGCAGTTCTGAATCCGCCCCGTCTTCCGAGGGGTCTCCCGCGGCACCGGCGATGTTGAAGAGTTCCCGGGTTTCGGCACCAGATGTCCCGCGCTACCGTCTCGCCAGCAAGAACGACGCAGAACACTCGGATCCTTCTGCAGTAAAGCTTTAATGCATCTTGAGAGATAGATGATCAGCTTCTTAGAGGGAGACCCCAAGCTAAGAAACCCAGCCCCTTATATAAGCCTAGGAGCTCCGAGTGAGACGTGTAGAGCCGGGATTGGTGGTTTGCACATCACCCCAGATGACGCCACGGGAGAGGCACAGCTTAAACGGTTAACTCCAACTGACAGCAGATGTCAGCGCCATCTTCTAACGGTTAACTCCAACTGACAGCAGATGTCAGCGCCATCTTCTAACGGCAATAGCGATAGCGAGGGCGGCTCCTCACATATTGCTTCTGGGGAAAGTGATATCAATGAGGCTTGAATCATAAGACTTTAGAGCAGAAGTCTTGATAAGGATATCTTTGTTGAGCATTCAAACTAGAGACCTATTCTATCTTCTTACACACGCCTCCCGACATGATTTAAGTTAGTTCTTTGACAATTTCGGACGTGTATATAGTACATTCTGGTTATTTTCTCCTTCTACCCTTTGATTTCCATCCTGCCCCTGAGTTCTTAGGCATAAATAAAATTGAGATTTTTCTGGTCATTGTGGTGTGCTTATGTGTATGTGCCCATGTGTATGTATATACATATGTGTACATGTATATATGTATGTGCATGTGTGTATGTATATGTATATGTGTATGAGTATGCATGTATTTGTATATGTATGTGTGCATGCTAATATATGTGTGTATATATGTGCGTATGCACGAGTGTGTTGAAGGATGGGCTTGTTACTGGGATTGAAGAGCACAGGATCTGCAGTGTTGTTAGGAACCTTCCATTCTCCATGTGTCTCTCATGCAATCTTCTTGGCCTTCTTAATTCCTATGCTCTATCTCGAACTAAGAAGGAGCCAATTGTATTGTCCATGCTAATCAGGATGAAGTTCATTGACTTAGAAGCTTTCCTCCTAGGATAGCTAATGTATTACCAGGAAGTCTTTGGATTAGCTGCCTTTGGACAGGGACCTATTTGTTGGGTCTAAAAAGGCCCAGACGCAAGGCCTAGTGGAACTTTCTAAGCCTGGCTAGAGTTTGGTGACCTGTCATTGGCCTATCACTTCTGCATAGGAGTGACTCAGCAAAACTGCCTCTGCCCAGCTACTGCTAACATGGTGAAATATTACTGGCCCTTACACCTCACTCCATCCTGAAGTCCCTGCCCACTTCCTCAGCCCTATATAAGTGCCTATCTGATGCAATAAAGAGAGATACTGTTTTAGCAAGTCTCCCTACTCAGTGTTGTTCTCTCCAGTAATTAGGAGGGACTTCTGGGTTGTTGACACTCTCCATCCTGCTCAGCCCCCAACCCCCCTGCCTGGAAGAGACTGGCTAGACTGGCCCTTCCACAGCCCCACCTGCCAGAGAACCTGACACCTATTGCAGTACTATTGGGGAACCTCTAGTTAAAAGCAGCTTGGAGCTGCTGTCCTGTGCAGGACAGGAATGTTTATAACATAGTAACTGCTTAATCCGTTTAGTATTTCCTGTATTTTATTATATTTTTTCTATATTTATTTTTTATAGTTAATTCACTTTTTTGGAAAAATATTAAATATACAAAATTCTGTGCCACTTCCATTTGCTGATGACATACTGGTCCTTTTTTTTTTCTACATACAGTTCCAAATAGGATTTCTTAAAAAATAATACATGAATATACTAAATAGTAGACTATGATATACTTTGGTTTAACATTAGAGCAGGGTTTTCACTGATATAATAGTCTTCCAAACTGTTCAAAGTTATCAGCAACAGTATATCATGGTCCCAGGATATTGTATGTTTTTAAAGTTGGCCATATAAATGGTTTCATTTCTCATTAAAATTTATCAGCATTTCAGATAACATTGTTATGTACTGTCAAATTGTTTCTAATGAAAAGATATAGGCTTTCCTTTTGTTGTCAGGTAGAAGACAGTGCCCTGCCATATTTTCACTTGGGAATGCCACACACACACCATGGGCACTTGCGTGAAGGTCAGAGAACAAGTTTAGAGATTTTGCTATTGTTGTTGTTGCTTTCTCTTTCCACCATTTGGGCTTCAAGATTGAATGTAAGTTATGCTTGGCATCAAGCACCCTTTACCAATAAAGTCATCTTGACGGCTCCATATCTGGTTTTTAAAATTAGTCTTTGTGTTTTGAAAAGTGTTAGATCCTTCTTGCTTTATGTATTCTAGTCATTATTCTGCTACTGGTGTTAAAGGGGGAGTAGTAGACTTAGGTATATTGATGAGAAACCACTTGCTGATTGCTTTCAGTTTGAAATGCTAACCCAGTGTATGTGTTTTCTTTAGCCTTCATACACAGAATTTGATATCAGTGGCAACGTCCTCGCTCTGATCTTCAACCAAGGCATGATCTGGTATGTCAACTGTGGGGCACTTAAGCAAATAGGGAAAAGTCTCCAAGGTCGTTGTTCTAGAAGGAATTGCAGCTAGGTATGAAGATGCCTTTCTATGGATTCTAGTTCTTTACTTTCGTGGGTAGAGTGGTGTGGGTAGTTTTATTTTTTCCATATTTTCAGTCATCATCCTATTTGGCAGAGTTCTCCTTCAGTAAAAATTGGGAGTCTATGCTCTTTCTGCTTGATTGACGATTCTCTTCTTACATGCTGTCACACCAGAAATGAACAGGAAACCATCATTCATCAATGGTCAGTCACATTAGCTCCTGTAAGGAATGAGCTGTTGCTGCCCGCACATGGCTTTTGAAAAAAACTGATAACATTTTCCTGTCAATATTAAACACACTAAAAGCATATTTGATAACTACTTTTTAACAAAAAATCTTACCAAATCTAGCAGCTTATAGAACTAGATACAACACCTATTTTAGGAAGTTCAAGTTAAAAATAAAATCTTAACTTTGTAATGTGTCGAGCAGGGCCATTTGCACAAGGGATTTCTTATGAAAAGATTGTCATCTTGTCTATTAAGTGGAAGCATTTTCACTATAAATTCTGACAGGTTATGATAAGTTGATAGAGTGAAAACCAGTTTTGAGTTTTAAAAACTGAGTCACAGCATGCAATTCATCTGGGGATGATGTGTCTTAGACTCTGTCACTCTCTGTGAGCTTCCCAACCCACAGGCAGTTACAGTGAAGACGCTCTTTCTACCTGAAAGCTAACTACACCACTGTCCTATCATAGGTGCCAGGATGGTTTTAGATGCTGTTTTCTTTTCTTTTCTTTATTAATTGACTTCATTTATCATTCAAATCTTTCAATCAGGCTCATTAGACACAATGTATGCTGATAGAGCCTGAAACCCTCTTCAGGTATGAAAACCTTTTGGCTTCAGTAACACAAGGGCCATTCCCAAGCCTCCATCATTTCAGCAATGGGACCTGCTGGATTTCTGCCTCCATAGGTGAACCAGTACAAAATACAAAAAAAAAACTACATTTTTTTTCTTTTTAGTTATCAGCTCAGATATGATTAAGAATGTAATTTCTGATCCCTCCCTTACTTTCTACTTTTTGTAAATGTGACTCCTGTATCCAGAGCATTGCTAAGAAGAACACATCCTTTATTCTCCATGTAGGGAAGAATGAAAAAGTGGTCTACCCTGAGGACTCAGTCCCAGGAGAGTGAGGGAGCAGCTCCTATGGGTTCTGATCCTTCATCTCCTAGAGGAGAAGCATCTTCCATGGCAGAAAATGGGCAGCATAACTACTAGAGTGTGCAAAACCTCTTCCTCCTACCTTTGGCATCCATTCAGTGCCATCAATGCCTCTGGACTTCTTATGGCACTGGTGCGGGTTTATGCTGAATGTCTATAGTGTTCTTTCAGAGCTAACATAGCAGACTGGTCTAGAAATCACTTTTATTGTCAGAAAAGCCATTGTAATTGCTACCCTGTCTGATTTTGCTTGTAATTTTGTGACTAGTCTGCCATTGTTCATACTATAATACTGAGAAAATTTAATTGTTTTTTACTATTTGTTAATGGGCAAAAATCTGCATGCTTGAAATCTCTGTATTGCTACTCTGTGTTCATTCTTTTACACTGGTTAGGCTTGCTTCTGGTGAATTTGAGTAGGACTTTAGGTACAAGAGTATATAATTTTAGGAAAGTCTAGCTTTTAAGTTACATACTAAATTTTGTTTAGAGTCAAGTAATCTATGAATACATGAAACAGATCCCTCCCTCCAGATCTTCACAACTCAGGAAGTGATTTGTGTTTTGTGTATATAACAAACAAACACACACTCCTGATTTTCAGGGGCAGCATATCTATTACTCAATTGCTTAGCATGAAGTCAGTGTTTTGAATGGATATTCTTTGCCTAACTTCCAGGGAGTTGGTGAGGGGGTGAGAATGTGGTATGGTAGGAAGGTGCAGAAAGGGTAGCATGTAAGAATAGTAGATTGTTTCTGCACAGGGTCGTACACATTGTGATTCTGTTAGTCTATAAACATGAGGAACTAGTGCCTGTCAGCCATTTTCTATTGAAGTAATCAAAATATGATAGGGATTTTTATGTTCCACTACAGAATTCCATTATTGCTTTCAGAGTTGCTGAAGATTATAGGTTACTTACACAAATATCAATAAAATGAAAACATGTGTTGTGACTTAACTTAATGATCAATACACCTTCATTTGCACACCTAGTTTAAAAGTAAAATACCATAAATTTCTGTGGTATGAAATGGGAAAAGCACGTAATATTTAAAAACAGCAGAATATAAGGGAGCAGTAAATATTAAAGGATGGTGTGAGAAAGAAGTTTCAGATTCATTGGGTAGCCTCCATTAAGACCTGTCACCTCTCTCCCCTCATTTTCTCAGTTGTTCAGGGTTGAGTAATTTATCTGATACATGTGTGACCCTGCAGCAACAAGGAGGGTCAAATAAAAAATGCTTCCCTTTGCTTTTATCGTCTTAGGAGAAAGTCATTTTATAAAGCTAAGATGGTATAATGATTTTTTTTAAGCTGGCAGACGATGTCATTAGGTCTGTGCAAGGGACTTAGTGGGACAAGCTGATCATAAGTCACAAACCAAGATGATGTAGCCATTACGACTTAAGCATTATTGTGGCAAGACTTGTTTGTCTAAGTTATGCCTGTCAAGTCTCTGATGATTTTGAAATTGTTGTACACCTACTGTATTACCAGGGTTCTCTAAGGAACAGAACTAATAGAATGAAATACATATATATGTGATCTTTAGACAGGCTTACGGGCTATGGTCTGAGTTGTGCAGTATTGGCTTTCCTCTTGATAGAAAGGCCAAAGATTTGGTGACAGTTCTGTCCCCGAGACTGGATGTCTCAACAGTCCCTGTCTGGTGCTGGAGTCTCAGCTTCTAGTTTTCAGTTAATGTTGGGAATTCTAAAGAAGTAGGTTCTAACAGCAGGGAAGGGATACCTCACGATAGATGCACTTGCCAGTGAGAGCAAGGGCAAGCAGACTGAAAGCACAAACTTCTTTCTTCCAGGACCTTTTATTTGGGCTGCCACCAGAAGGTGTGGCTCAGATTTATAGTGGATCTTCCAACCTCAAATAATGTAGATTTAGGCTGGGTCTCCCAGCTCAAATAATCCAATGAAGAAAAATCCTTAACATGTATGCCAAGTTGCTTGGGTCTTGGTTACTTTCAAATGTAGTCAAGTTGACAACTGTAAAGGGAAGGCTTTTCCTCTGCCAGCCGCTTGGGCTCTGCCACATTGTAGTCCCCAAATAACACACAAAGACGCTGTATTAATTATGAAGCTGTTGGCCTTGCTTGTTTCTTACTGGCTAGCTCTGACTGAAGTATTTACCCCATAATTGTTAATCTAAGTATTTCTCTTACCAGAGCAAAAGTTCAGAATCTTATTTCTCTGGCGGGCTACATCATGACTTCCTGTGTTTCTCCTACCCAGAGTCCTCCTCGACTCCTAGTCCCACCTAGCTTGCTTCCCTATCGTCCAACAGTGCTTTATTGACATATACACAGGACTTCCCCCATCATCTCCTCTTTTCTGTCTAAACAAAAAGAAAGGTCTTAACTTTAGCATAGTCGAATTATATATAACAGAACAGTTATCAAGTAAGAACACAGTCACAATATTTTGTCTATCAACATTCAGCAAGATTTAAAGAAAATATCATCTATCCCATCCTTGTAAGTCCAAAGTCCTATATGTAGCTTATCTTTTATCATAACTAAGAAAAACTATAATTATAACTATCTGCCTTCAACTCTATCAAAGACCACAGAATTATAATATATAAACACTAGAATTGACAGAGACATCTCGCTACCTGGATAGTAACCTGAAGTTCCTCTGTAATGTTGGGGCATCCATCTTCAGCCCATAGGCCACAGTGTGTCTAGAACACTTCTCAGCAAAGCAGGAAATTTCAAATTGTCCATCTGCATCTGCAGTCTGTCAGTCATTTTTCTGTGTTCTGCAGAAAGTCTCATATACTCTTCCATGAAGCAGGAGCCTTGTAGGACTGTTTGAGTTCAGCAGTCACTTTCCTGTGGGTCCTGCATGTCCAGTTTATACAGCAACAGTCAAGCAGTCTAGGCAAGAGCAGTTTCTTGCCCAAATGTCTAATCTTGCCTTGTTGAAAGCAAACTCCATACCAAGTTTCTTTGATGCCCATCTTCCTCTCAGATGTAATTGGTGCTGTTAGGAGCAGACATTTCTCGTTGTCAAGAAAAACCCTAAACCATTTTAAATGCCATTTTCTGAAGGTCTTTGAAAGGTTTGAAGACTATCTAACTCCAATATATCTCTGTATATCTAGAAAACCTAACTGTAAGTTCTGACTATTATAAGTAACTACCTATAGTCTATATTTAGTTATGTATTATGTTTTAAAAGATCAGTATAAGCACAATACTTAATCAAGAGTAATCTGGTCTGTAGATTTGATGTTTTAATGGTAATGTGTCTTGAAGAGCTTCTTTTTATCTATTTTTGGTTCTAAATGAAGTTTCTTGTAGGTCTATACTACTAAAATACATGGAGTTTGAAAATTGTTAAAATTAATGACATTACATAAGTACAAAATGAAAAGAAGGAGGAATAAGTTGTAAAGGGAAGCCTTCCTTGAGAGAAGCCTTCCCGCCAGCCTGGTTCCATAGCCTCATCAGTCCCAAATAAACACACAGGAGGCTATATTAATTATGAAGCTGTTGGCCTTGCTTGTTTCTTAGTGGCTAGCTCTGACTGAAGTATTTACCCCATAATTGTTAATCTAAGTATTTCTCTTACCGGAGCAAAAGCTCAGAATCTTATTTCTCTGGCGGGCTACATCATGACTTCCTGTGTTTCTCCTACCCAGAGTCCTCCTCGACTCCTAGTCCCACCTATCTTGCTTCCTTATTGTCCAACAGTGCTTTATTGACATTTACACAGGACTTTCCCTATCAGACAACCAAGATTTGTCATCAGAAATCCACTTCTTGTCAACTTGAAACACAATTATATCTCCTTATGTCATGCTTAACACGTGCAAATGAAAACAATAATCAAGTCATAATTATGCCTAACATAGCTATACCACATTCAGTCACAATTGCATTATAGAGGAATGGGCAATATTCTTTGATGGACATTCTTATAGTCTTATAAATCACTTCCATGTAGCATGTGTGTACATGTACCCCCACATGCACATAGAGGTAGTTAGTTTTAGAAAAATCTAGAATTTGAATTGTGTGTAAAATTTTGTCTTGGATTGGTCAGCGCTACGGGTGTGTAAGATCTCTCCCTACAGAACCCCTCTCCTCTCATTTTCACAACTTAGAGGAGTGAAATATCTGGTGTGAACTGAAATGGATCTCTGATCTCATGCCTTATCCTTACTTTGGAGATATTTACTGATGGAATAGCCTGTACCTGGAACATTGCTCTCATGACAGTTGGAAGAGAAGGACACAAAACCACATAAGACTTGTAACGTTTTCAACCAGTGCTGATGTATCATAATGTAATCACCTTTTATTGGTCCAAACAAGTCACAAATACAACCCTGAGTTTTAGAACAAGGTGGACCTGATCAGTCCCAGGTACAAGATTAGTAATTTGAATTAACTGGGACAATTAGTAACTTATTATTCTTTTGAATGCCAACTTCTCTCTTCCTAGTTATGCAGTGATGTGTAGGAAAGGTACACAGTGATGTTTTAAAATATCCCATTACAATGTTGGCAGTCTGTTCACTATGACATCATTCAGATTTGTTGCTTGGCACCCTACAAACAGGATAATTGAAATTGTGGCAAGATTTCACTTTTCAAAGGATGGTTCATGTGCAATAAGATGATTTTTCCCTGCTTAAAAAACGTCTCCAGTATACAAAATTTTCATTGACTTAGTTCCTTAGTTTTTCTCCCTGTTATGATTAAAATATCCAGACAAAAGCAATTTATAGGAACAATGACTTATTATATCCCACAGTTCCAGGTGACATACCATCATATCAGGAATATCAAGTTAGCAGGAACTTGAAAAAGCTAGTCATATTCCATCTATAATACAAAGCAGAGAACAATGAATGAATACATACCTAATTGTGCTTATCTTATTTCAGTTTAAGATACCTTGTCTAGGGAATGGTGCCACAAATAGTGGGAAGGTCTTTCCAATTTAATGTAATCAAGATAATTCCCCACAGACCTACCCACAAGTCAATCTGATCTAAACAATCTCTCACTGATATTCTTTCCCTATCTGATACTAACTTGTGTCAGGGTGACAATTAAAAGTAACTGCAGTTAGTTAAACATCTACTATGTGTACTTAGAAAATACAAACTATTAAAACTAAAGTTCTGAAAGCTTTATTATAGTTGGGACAGTTAAAAAAAATAAGGATCTACTCTATTTACAAAATAAGTACAGAGTTTTTTTTTGTTTTTGACTGATGTATTGAAACTCAGATTACTGTGTAAAAGGACTTTCTTATCAAGCTTAAATTGCAATTACTTTTTCTGGAGTAACCAACTAAGATATCAAGTAAAAATGGCATCACCTAAACAGTTCCAGTTCAAAATAATGTTTTACAGTGCTTTTTAAAAGTCAGATACACAAATCAATTAAACTAAATTTAAATGATGTCATGAAATTCAGTATAATATTAGATATCAGTATCTTTCCCATCAGCTCTAAAGCACCGTAGTTACTATGAAAATAAAATAGCATTAGCATACATCTTTTTTCTCTTCCCCTAGCAAAAGTTATCTGTGGAAAAGTGACTAATCTAAGTGTACAGTTTATTTCAACGAAGGAGAGCCCTTACAGGTCTATTATTTGAAAACTTCTATTTTGAAATATGCTAGTCAATGATAGGAATATTGGAGGGAACTGAATTGACTAAGAGCAAAAGAAAGAAGGAAACAAAAGAATTGAACATATGTTTACTCTTGGTTTTTGCGTTTTTTAATGAAACAGATTTAGTTTATGACAATTTCTATGAAATAATTATATAAAATACACACATATAGGGGAAATGGTAAAACATATTTAGAAGGTGGGAGCAGGCTAGTCAGGACTATTTATGGACATGGTCTTTATGGTTGTGCTAACATCATGGATTTTTTTATTTTGGTAAAAGGAGCAATGTAAAATGAACAGATCTGTGCAACATGGTGATGGACTTAGAATTGAAGAGTGTTCTGATTCCTTTCCAGGATGGGCTCCTTCTTTGCCCCTAGCCTTCCAGGCATCAACATCCTCCGGCTCCACACATCCATGTATTTCCAGTGCTGGGCTGTGATGTGCTGCAATGTTCCTGAGGCCAGAGTCTTTAAAGCTTCCAGATCCAACAACTTCTACCTTGGCATGCTGCTGCTCATCCTCTTCTTGTCCACCATGCCTGTCCTGTACATGATCGTCTCTCTCCCGCCATCTTTTGATTGTGGACCCTTCAGGTCTCATTTTTCAGATTTGACTTGAACACAGTATTCATTTTGGGTTGAAATGGGAATGGCCACTCACTGTTCATGCTTCTAAAAACATGACATTTGTCATTGACAGAAATGATTCTGTCATGTCAGCATGTGATGTGGATCATTCAGACAATTTCCATATATTGTCTCACTTGATAGTCAAAAAGGGAAAACATTCTGTAAGGATACAATCTAGATACCAAGTCCTGCTGTTTCCATATTTGGGAGAGTCAAGAGCAACCCTTGACACTCCTAGTCTAGACATGTTTTCCTGATGCTATAAACATCATCACATTCACACATAAATCAGTTATGGTTAGATTTCATGTGAACCTTGAAAAAATAGATTTCCCACCCATCAAATAATAAGTGGAATCATTACTAAACAATGATACGTGTCGAACGAGAGTTGTATACATTGTGATCCAAAAGGTTTCCAAGAATTTAAAAGTGGTATACTCCTTAGTTCCACATCTGTTTTCTACCCACAAGTCACTCAAATCAGCAATCAAGGTTCAGGAAAGTGCTTTGACTCATTAAAGTTAGCTTTTCTATAGCTACTCCCATCAAGAAGTAGTATCTTTGAGGTCTTGAGGACAGGATTTCATTCCCTCAAAGCTACTCATGAACCTATCACAAGTCCCCCAGTTATCTCTACATATTGTTACTGGCCAGCATGCATTTGATATGAAGAGGACGTGAAGGCATGAAGCCTTGTAGATGCCAGATCCAGTGCTCTAATGATCACATAGAATCGTCCCCTTGTGCTGTCACACCCAAGAGATTTCTTAAGTCAGAAGTGTTTGTTGCATAAGACTAAGTAAAGGGGGCATGTTTTCACACCAATGAAATTTTTTTGCCTCAGTTATTTTTCTGAGAATAGTTGAGAACTAGCTGGTGTCTATCAGACTCGGGAAACTGACATTAATAAGTCTTCAACATCTCTCTCTGTCTTTCTCTAAGTGTTGGCTTGTACACTTGTGTGTGCATGTGCAAGCACACATATGCTCACATATCTGTTGGCAAGTAGGTTGAATTAATAATGCAGACAGTGACATCTGGAGACTAAATAGGAAATTACAGTCTTGAAGCTGACATCTTAATCTGAAAACAAAATTCAAAACACAAGCCCTTGAAAAGTCTTTCATTAAATGAAACCTACCCATGTGATTTTGTCTCTTAGATACATTTAAAAATGTTTTTTTACCTTATACTAGGGAGCTGATCTTCATCCTCCCGAGCAAAACACTTTTCTCTTTTACACAAAGTAAGGTAAACATAAATGCCAAGCTGGCTGATGACACAACTGGATTCAGGCATGAATTACCAGACAGAGACATGCAACATTGCACAATTTTATCTCCTTAAATTGCATTCCCTCTGGTTCTCTAGATTCTTGGGTTCCTCAGTAATAACAGCTTACACTGATTTTTTCTGAGAAACAAAAGATGGAAAGAATGACATTGTATGTGACTTTTACCATAAATTTCTGATTGGCACATTTAGGTGCAGTGACTGTGAATAACTTACCTCTTTTGGAGAAAAACCAATGCTTAGGACCCAGGCCTCAACACACACATATACTCCAAAGCTGTTGTGTTCTGGAATGAGACCAGGAATCACCTTTCCTGTGGTTTTTCTACCCTTAGGAACTGGGTTTTGAGATGCTTCCCTCCTGCTGAGGGAAGGCTCCTAGACCATTTCTGATGCCTGGTTGAGTAGCAAACCAGCAACAATAAATTTGAAGGAGGTTAATATGAAACTAGAACTTTGTCTTCAGATTTGAACTGGAGTACACTAGTTCTGTCGGGTTGTTTTCAGACTATTGGTGTGTTTTCAGCTAAGATGTTTTACAGTCCGTTGGCAAAACAACTTGATGAGCTTTTCTAGAACATTCTGCTAAATTTTCTAGAAAATTGTTAAAACAAGTAAGGCTATTTAATTTATACCGTTGGTAATTTTAAAACTATTTCTTTGAGGAAATATGAGGAAATTATTTCTAAGTGGTCAGTCATGTTTCCTCTGAACAAATAGTCTCCATACCTGCGTGAATAATTCTGAAGTTTATAGTTCTTCAGTTTCCCCTGCCTTCTTTTATTGTAGCAATTTTACACTTTTCTTCCTGCAAAAAAATCATCCTATGTAACATGACAAGTCTGGAAATATTTAGCAATTAAATAGTGTTCATATGCCCAAGGACCTAAAGCAATATCACCAAGCATTGTGGCATTTGTTCATGCTTGTTCATGTTCATTGTCTATGTTTAGAAGTCTCCACTATAAAGAATGTGGAGCTTACCAGTGAGCACAGTGTCAGCATTAGTCACTTACAGTTAGATTTTATGAGTCAGCTCTTATATTTTTTTTGTAAAAGAAAACACTATAATCCATAGTCAGATAACTACTTGGGGTCACACCATGTCTGCTGTATTTGTCCCATCTGAAGTCGGAAAAACTCCATCTGATCTGGGATTTGTGGGGCTTATTTATTTTGTTTAAATAGTAAAAGATTAAAAACCAAAAGTAAGCATATATACCATAATAACTTTTAAACTGAAAATATGCCCATTCCACTTTTCTGTGAATTACAACTTTTTACAGTACGCATTCAAAGGGAGTAACTTGGCACCATGAATAGTTCACTGATTCCAGACACTCCACACTAGGTTAAAACATGCTGCTCTCATTGTTCTAGTTCAGAGGAGCTGATTTTCCTCTAACGAAAGCCTTAACTGGATTTACTGGGAGCTGACCAGCATCAGAGACCTGAGGGTGCAAGGCTCCTCCTCCAGGAATGCAGTTGCCCACTTAGACCTCTGATAAGTGATTTCTGATGGGCAATGAGTAGAAGCCATGTTGTGGAATTAGATGTTGGGTTATCCATAGATTTTATTCCACCACTCTATTATTTGTTGTGTTCATTTCCAAAGCCAATTAAAAACTGAGTGTACTGCATACTGAGTTCAGAGAGAGCTTCCTTCCAGAGCAGCTGGCTAGGGAGCGATTTATTTGCCACACATAAAATACCATTCAATCAAAATTTTAGCAGAACAATATTTAAAAAATCTTCTGAAGCTGTGAGTAATTTTCCTAAGTGCTTTTCCTCAGTGTGTACTGGGAGGAGACTGCTCTGCTTATCTTGTAATCTTCTGTTATCAAGAAGTGGTCAGAGTAGATGGGCCGCTTACTATCAGATCTTAACCCTCAAGAGAACCTATGTAGTATTGGAGAATATTTTCCTATCTCACTGTAACCATATGTTTTACATTTGTTTTAAACTCAACCCCCCACTATCACCACTAGTGGTAAAAACAGGATGTTTGAAGTCATTGGTGAGACCCTGGAACATGATTTCCCAAGCTGGATGGCGAAGATCCTGAGGCAGCTTTCTAACCCCGGCCTGGTCATTGCTGTTGTTCTGGTGATGGCGTACGTGTTTGTTCTCGGGCTCCATTTATCCCCAAAGGGTTGTGTTGAAACCTAACCAAATGCATTGCTGACTGCATGATGATGGGCGTGAAATGATGCGAACCGTCTTCTGCTCCTACTGGATGTGATTCACAACCATCTGCATCTGTCTCTGCCTCCCTAGGATTTGTTCCCAAGTAACGAAAATAATTATCAGTAAACAGCTAAAGCAAGGGAAACATAAATGCTAAACGCTAAATCTAATCAGCATGTTGAGTTTCCCTTCGCAGCATGACCTCCACCTCTTGTTCCATAAAGCAGATGGCTGTGAATACAGAATGATGAGCCTCTGTGTTAATATTCCCCTTGGGGACCCACTAGGCTATATTTTAGGGCTAAAGGCCTAAGGAGCATTAAAAATCAATCCATTCTTTTTGTTCTTAGAGGGTTGTCAATAACTATGCATCCACAGTAACAGAGTTAGAGGAGCAGAGCACCTCCTAGTTAGCCCACACTATCTCTGCAAAGTCAGAGTGATTTACAAAAGGACATTGAGAAGAAAGATTTTGTTGCTATTTTCCTTTCTGCCTTTGGACTTTGGGCTCCAGTATTACAAAATATTTGTTTTCTGGAAGAACTAAGAGAGACACTCACTGTTTCATCTGCTAGGCCCTCCTAGCGAAGAAGTCTGGAACCACTACTGCTCTAGGTCAAGGGCACAAAGTATGAAGCCACTTCCAGGGGTGCTGTTACCCACAAGGTTGATGTGGAGGACTGAACAAAAATTAGGGCTGAAACTCCAACTAACTTGAAATAAACAAGCTGGAGGCTGACCTAGTTCTTGAGACTATTCTTGTGGCCATTTTCATGTTCATAGTCACAGAAAGGGATGAGAAGAAGGCCCATCTCCACTTTTACAAATTCAAAAACACGCTCATTCCTAAGTGATATGCATACTAACAGGAAAAGTGGGACACAGACAGACCCTTTCCAGGAAATTCAAAGTCCATGTATGGAAACACCTTACAGATAGGAGAGGTACTAAATCAGAGCTAATTTAACAGTAACAAAGATTACTGTTATATGTTGTTTCATAGAACCTTATTAAGAATCAGAGTTGGTCTGTAGATTAAGCATGTTAGAGGCATCATTCACCAGGTGGCCCTAGAATTGATTTTCTTTCTCCACAATTTCTTGAGAGTGTGGTTTCTGAGAGCATGTTAATAAGGATCCTGTAGCCTTTGGTTCCCAAGTTACTTTAATAAGTATAGATGAGATCTTGTCTGACACACACATAGACAGACAGACCAACCACAAAGGGGAGCTTTTGCTACTATATTAATAATTTATCATGAGAGTTATTTTTAAACAAAAGGGACAACACTATTGGAATGCCTGTCTCTAAAGACCCACCAAACTTCCTCAAGAATTTATGCTTCTGTTGCCTTAGGTACCCTATGGTAACTAATTTTTTTAACCAAAAATAATCGTAAGGAATAGCTACATTAATCACATTGTCATTAACAAATGGGTGATCTGCTCCTAAACGAGGTGGTTGATCAGTGTGACAAAGACTCACTTCTCCCTCTTGTGTTGGTTTCTTCTGCTCGTTTGTACTAACAAAGTTTGGAATCAGTGGGGCTATCGGAAGGCCTAAAAGTCACTTGTAGGGAATGGTTCAGGGTGTCCAAAAACTGTTGATACAGAAACACAACACTGTAGACTACACAGGTGCTGAGCCTCATCTGTAGCTATCCTGGGACACTTATGACTCAATGGTCAAAACTTGGCATACCAGGCAGGTTCAGGGCATATTCTTAAATATCCAGAAGTAGATAGTATAGGACAAGAGACAGAATTGGTCATAACAAATACTTAAACATATAAAGATGTAGCTGGGTGATGGTGGCCCACACCTTTAATTCCAGTACTTGGAAGGCAGAGGCAGGTGAATCTTAGTGAGTTCAAAGCCAGCTTGGTCTACAAAGCAAGTTCCAGGACAATTACACAAAGAAACTCTGTCTTGAACCCCCCCCAAACAAAATCTAAAGAGCATTCTTGGTTCAAGAACTAAAGAAAGCACTCTAGGGTGATGACTTTGATGTGTGAGCCACAGTTTCACAGTACTTAACACAGACAGAGAGCAGCATCATAAGGTTTAAAAAGGAGTCCTTAACGGGGTTGAATTTTGTTCTAAGTTATGGACTTAAAATCCACATTGCATTTTACCACTGAATTTTTTCCAAACTCCATGGTCCCACATTCTTCTTCAAGAGGCACTAACAATTGGCATGGATTTTTATTACCATTAATTATAGAATGTAACAAGCATTTTGAATTTCCCAGTAGATTATATTAAATCCACTTGGATGGTTTTCAGTATTCACACAGCATTTAGGTTTTCTGTAAGTGCTGTCAGTGAATGTGAGGCAAGGAAGTATATGCAAGGCACACTCATTTAAGATGCACAGGGAATCACAGGACTGAAAATGATTTGTGAGACATTTACATTTCCCTATGTCCAGAAACTTCAAGAAAATTCTTACTCTACACACACACACACACACACACACACACACACACACACACAGAGAGAGAGAGAGAGAGAGAGAGAGAAAGAGAGAAACAGAGAAACAGAGAGACAGAGAGACAGAGACAGAGAGAGACAGAGAGAGACAGAGATAGAGACAGAGACAGAGAGATGGAGAGAGACAGAGAGTTTCATGCCAGATGCTGCCCCAGATGTTTTCATGTATGTAATTTTAGGCAAACTCTAGCTATCCACATGAGAGATAAATCCAACTAAACCGTGTCAATAGCTATGCTGCCAGCACCAGATGGCTCATAAAGGATAGTCTCTGGCATGTGGGTGGGCAGAGAAAATGTGTTTAATCTCCAGTTATTTGTATTGAGGCCAGCACCAGCTATCTTTCCTTTTTACTACAGTTCCCTTTTGCTGGTTCATTTTGCCTAAAGAGAAAATAAGGATATTTATTTTGTCAGAATTGTTGAGCTGGAATTTGTTTTTTCTAGAAATGTAAATGACATTTAAAATCTGAAATTATTCCTTGGTAAAACAGTTTCTTTTTGAGGAAGGGAGAAATACAAATGCTGTGTTCTATGCAGGGGGAGGGTTAGGGGAGTGGGGCGTGGATCCATGTTAATGAAGTTATGCCCTTGAGGATTGTAGTTTTGGTCACAAAGGCTAAAAGGCCAAATATGGAGTTTAAGGTATAAACATTTAACACATTGCCTAAACTCCAGCAGACCCACTGTTTTCATTGTTGCTATTGCCATTGTTCAGACGAGCACTGTAATTAGAATTTAAGCTGATGGTAATACACTTCCAAGAAGCTAATACTGGGCCCCGTGGAATGATGGATGGCATATGAGGTGGCACAGTCAAAACCTTTGGGTCAACTTTCTGGCTTTGTCCTAGTCATTGTCTATGTTAACTATACTTTATTTCACTGGTATTGGGGATTGAACCTATAGCTTTACTCATGATAGACAAGTGACCTGCTGCTATATCCCCAAGGCTAAGTTTCCTTACCTGGCCTTGAACTTGCAATGTAGTCTAGCCAGTGAACATGAAATCCTCTTGCTTCAGCCTCTCTCCTAAATAAATGGGTATCTCCAGACATGGATACTAAGTACACCTCTTTACTTCTCTGGATTTCAGTTGTTACATGTAGAATATCACCTTTTGATTAGTAAGTACCTTGTATCCATTTTATGCTAACATTGGTTAATATAGTATCAAGGAGGATAACCTGAAACTGAGAAATGCCATCAATTTTGTTTTATTCTATCTTATTTTTTCATTTAGTTTAACCATCTATTATCTCAATGCTACTGCCAAGGGCCAGAAAGCAGCGAATCTGGATCTAAAGAAGAAGATGAAAATGGTACAATATAGCTGTGTGTGTGTGTGTGTGTGTGTGTGTGTGTGTGTGATAACATCTTTACCAATATCAATTAGAATAAATCTGAATGTAGTCTTCTCTCTTTTTTTATTGTGTAGCAAGCTTTGGAGAACAAACTGCGAAACAAGAAAATGGCAGCTGCTCGAGCAGGTTGGTGATGTGTTTTTGTTTGGATTTGTGTTCGTCAGAGTATACTCATCCTTTCTCTATACAAGGCATTTGATGGCCAGCTCATCATTGTTCTCAGCTGCTTATCCCATGGTTTGCACCATCCATTGTCTAAGATCTTCTCAAGGGGTTTGTTTCTCTTCCACAGGAGAAGGATTAGAAAAAAGGATGGAAAAATTCAACAGTGTAAAACTTAGGAGTATAGCTGAAAAAACGATCTTTAAAACCTGAAAGAAAATGATGAAGACTTCCCTTTGGTCATGTGCAAATAACAAATGCCATAGGGCTAGTTTTGTAAGTGGGAAAATTCCTTTGGTATCCTCCTCTGAACTCACTATCTTCACCATTGGAATTTTTTTCTGACTTGTCACCTTTTACTTTTTATTATTTTCTCAGCACTAAGGATTAGTCCAGTGCTGTACTATAAAACTGTCCTCAGACTTCTTTTTATTTGTTTATTTTGAAGTGGGCTGTCACTGTGTTTCCAAGGCTGGGCTTGTATTCACTCTAGCCAAGGATATCCTTGAATTTGCAATCTTCTGGCTTCTATCATACAACTAGGATTGCAGGTGTGTGTTAGCAGGCTGGTTACACTGCTTTTTAAACCTCTTCAATGTTTAAAATATAATTGACCTTCCACCTGCTGAGTATCTGCATTTACAGGTATAACTAGCTATAGACTGTAAATATTCAGTAAAATAAAGGTATAAAGCCTTTTTATTTACTATCACTATTTAATAGTATTACAAGGAGGATTTGTGTATCTATGGTGGTGAAGGTAGACCTAGACCTCTGCAGATGAGGAAGTGCATCATTGTTCAAATAAAGGGTTCTTTTATTGGCAACAATTAATAATGGGTCTTGATCCAGCACCATCCTCCACACCACTACCAAAACAACAGCAAAGAGATACTCAACAACTTGAATGAAAATCTTTTCCAAGTTTATTTATAAGTTGATTCCTAACTTTAAAATTCTTTCTAGTAGTAGAAAGTTTAAGAAAAGGGAGGAAATGCTGGATGGCCCCAAAGAGCATGACTCAAAACATTGCTTTCTTCTCCTTTAAGTTTTAAAAATGTGTTTTTCCCCCCAGCATGCAGAAATGTAGCATCAATCATGAGAAGCTGACATGGGTGATAACAGTGATATACAGTTTGCAGACTTGTCTTTTCCTAACCAATGCTGCATAGGAGCACTGCAGAGGAACACATGGTTATGAACTCTTTTACAACAATGCACCTTTTCCCTTATTCTAGACGGTAGCCCTGCTCTCGGCTGCCCATCCCAACTATATCAAGAGAAACTTTTTCAGCTCTTACTTGGTTCTTGCCATAGTCATCTCCAAATTGCACGTTTCTTTACCTCTTCTTTTTATTATCAATTAGTTATTGATTCTAATGCAAAGTATTTGGCTCTTTTTCATCCACTTGCTAAGCACTTTGCACATAGCACTTGTTTGGGTTGAGATGTGATCATTACACATACTAATTTTCTCAAGATTAACATTTTTCTCTATTCCACTAATTCAATATCCAAATTTCTGCTACTCATCCAATCACACTCTTCCATATTTTATCTCTGTTGATTGCATACTTATCAGAGGGCCTCATCACTCTGGAATCTCGTGTCCTTTAACTGCATGGAATTTTCTGAAATTACTTGCTAGTGATTTCTTTCTAGCCATTTTATATTTGTGGAATTCCTAATATTTGGCATCTAAACCAGTTCTTTAAATTCTTATTTACTTTTTATACTCTGTCCTTTTTGCTTTAACAATGGACAATTAGTTTTAAATTTCAAAATTTCCTTTCGTCTTTTCATGTCAGCTATCATGGATTGGCGTTTGCCAAACTACCTTAGTATCTAAATAGCATCCCCTTCTTGTTGAAGACAAAGGCATCTTGTCTTTATGAAAATACTAATTCCTCTTTTTGAAGTTTCTCTGCTTTTATGGTCTCTTTTCCTTAAGCTGCTTTGTCTTCCTCTGACACGTGTCACCGTTACCACCTTCCCTCTGCTTGTCTGTGGCTTCTGACATCCAAGGCTCAAAGCAAGTTTCCATGCTCTGAGTATACATATGGGGCATGCTCAAAGACCTCATGAACGCCCATGCCTGTATCTTTACTTCCCAGTCACATTACATGTCCCAGAAAAGTTACCACAAACTCCAGCCTAGCTTATAAATCATTCTTGTGAGCTTCTTGTCATCACTGTGGTACTCCTTGTAGTTTTCTAGATATTGAATACCTTTGTTTTATTTTTTCCAGGAAAAAAGTAAAGTCCTCCAATCTTCTGCCAGGATAAGAAAGTACACATTGGTGCTAAGAAGGGAAATTGATCTGAGGTTGTGATTGTCTTTTTGTTTTATTTGTTTTCTGAGATAGGGTCTCATTGCATAGCTCAGACTAGTCTCAAACTTAGTAGGTATTTCAAGACTGATCTTGAGTCTTGAACTCGCCATCCTCCGGCCTCAGCTTCCAAAGTCCTGGGAGTCTGTCATGTACCACCATGCCCCTCCTCATCCATCTTCTCAGCTGCTTCTCAGCTAAAACCTCTCCTTATCTTGGCTCTTCATTTCTAGAACAACTTTTGTATCTTTTGGAGAGTTTTCTGTGTAAATTCTGTTGCTCCTCATCTTTTTTTTTTTTCTCCACTGGTTTAGGATTTCTGTTTGTTCAGACTGACAAGTCTCCTGTTTACTTACTGGTTTTCCTGCTCCCCAAAATCACTGCTGCTTCTGGTCTCTTTTCCATGACAGGCATGCATACTCCCTCCCAAGGTGTGCTTGCTCAATCCAGTGCACTCACCTTCACAGTCTAGGCAAATATTGTTCTACACCGAGAGGGGAGTACGTCTCTTTTTCTCTGTAATGATTCTGCTTAATCCACACAGTTACTTGGAGAGTGTTTACCTAATAGGATGCAGTTTGCCTTAGGGAATTGAGCCTAAGGAACTGATAAAACTGGAGCATTGTCTAGTTTTACCAAGAGATGAAGGATTAGACACATCCTGATAGTGCCTATGTGGAATTTAATGTTACCAGATTAATTCTTCAAATTGCGAGTGGAAAGTTTTGATTTCTATGACACAAATTCTAGTTTAGATTTACTATTATCTTTCTTGCTTGAAATAATGATATAACATATAGTATGATAATTGTCTGGTTCCCATAATGTTTATAGTTATTGAGAAATGTGTACTGAGTATCTAATGACAAAAGGGAATTCTTTTATTTGAGAAAATGAAAAGAAATGGATTTCTATATTTATTGCGTAAACATTAACTATGTACTAAATAAGTATTACTTTCATTCTCCTTTCTCTAGAATTTGTGAGAACTTTTTAAAATGACATAGAAATAGTTTGACTATAAAATTCCAAATATTGTTGTAAAGTGGAACAAATTGGGAAGATAATAGATTTTAAACTACCTCATTTAGAATCATTATGTGCACAGAGAGCTGAATGTTCATCTGTCTTTTTTTCATCTCTCTCCCTTGTTTTAAACAGCTGCAGCTGCTGGTGGGCAGTAATTTTATCAAATATTCTGGGGGGCTCAGAAGGGCTCTTCACTTCCGTTTTTGAATGTAGAGAGAGCTACGACGGGACGGGCCAGTGAACTAGCATTGGTGAACCACTGCATTGTGTTTTACCGCTGATTGGTCATCAAGGTCAAGGTCACAGCCATCTATCAAGGGATCATCAGCTCTCCTGGAGCAAGAAGAATCTCATCACATCCTGTATTTGTCTGGGTTATGATGCCTTCTCTCTTTCTTCCCCCATATGGCCTCAAACAAATCATTTTTAAATGGGTGTGTGATCTAGTGATAAAAATTAAAAAGTCAACATTTCCTCATATGGACTTTCTTCCTACAGACAGATTTAGTTTCTTAAATTGTGAATGGGGCTATATTAGCATGTTTTACCCTTTAAATTTATAACTACCAGCATGAGATACTCACTGTGATCATTCACTAATTAACTGTTTCGTGTGTTAATTCATCGATCTGGTAGAATTTCTTTCTCACATACATAAATGTCATATTGATATAATATTAATTTTAAGAGAATTGGCTCACTTTAAAAATGTAACATCCCCCATCTTTCTACCCATCAGCTCTCACATATGCCCAGCATTTTTGTATTTACAGCTGGAGTCAGTACAAAAAGAAAGACACTGTTCAGGAGAAATGTCACATGTAATTTGATATTCCCTGCAGTGCTGACTTAACAATAGTTTGTCACCATAAGGAGGCATGTGGTTCTTAGACAAACTGGACTATTATGAGTTCAACAATAGACAACAGCACAAATGACGTGTTCAGTCAGAGTCTCCTCTTTTAACCTCTGATCATCATCCCTGAATTTTGATGGATGTAATCTGTGGTTGTTCTTGGCTTGTTTTGTTGAGATTAGGAAATCATGCCTTTAGTTGGAACTTTAGTTCATAGCTTTGCTTAAACATTATGTTTATCTAAAGATTGAGTTCACTAATGGTAGCACTCAATGCCCTCCTCATCTTGTGCTGTAACCTCAGTAGTGTCTTGTAACTCACAGCATCCCTTTTCAGAACTGAGGCAACCTACATCCCTGAAGTTGAATTTCAGACTTTTGTTGCCCTTTTACTTTACTCCTTTTCTTTAACCTTTTTCTGGCTGTGGAATGGTCATACTGTTCTCTTGCCAATTCTTGACTCACTTCCTCCAATTTCCCTGTCTGGATAGCATCTATTCCCAATCATGTTACCCTTCTAATAGCATTCCTTAGAATGTTACATCCTCAGTGTAGCATCTGTACAGACTTTCTGTGTTTTTTACTTCGGTTGTTGATTGTTTCATGCATGCATGGCTTTTCCTATCTAGACTGTAGTTCTTTGGGAGCAGGAATCATATCTACTCACTGTTCTATATGTCTCATACAGTGCTGTGCACAGTTTGGCACTGCATAAATGCTTGCTGATTAAATTGAGTCAACTTGGCTTATTGCAGTTGCATTATAAAGGAAGAGACCTGTGTTGGTTGCATGGAAAATATTCCTAGGATGTAAGAAATGGACTAACTCCTGTCCGACTTTTGTTATCATTAGACTGTAATGCAGATTAGTAAATAAAGATAGCACTGATTTCTACAAGGGTTGTTCATATACTGTGTGATAATACAGAGAAACAGTTTATTATGTCAGCAAATTTAGAAGTGAATGTCACCCTTGCTCTAGATCTACTTATTGAGATCTTGATGATAGATCTTAAGAAGAGAAGACAGCATATTTTTAAGGATGATCTTCTAAAATCAGCATACTTTTAGAAACTATTTTAATCTTATAAACATTCAGACTTCATTTGCCAAGTTTCAGTCTTTCCACATATTAAAAGTCAACTTTAGGTATTTAGAGCCCTTGCATACACTCCCTGAATGACTACCTGATGGGGATGTCTTTTTGTATATATGTTTCTCTTTTTGGTTAATGAATAGACAGAGCTAGACAATAAGAATTCTTAGCCATCGACCAACAGTTTATATAGTGTCTCTGTGTGCTTATTTGGGGCTGAGAAGGTTAGTGGGACATGGCAGGACAAGAAAACCCGCAACAACTGCCTCCATAGACAAGGGTCTGGGGCAGTGAATGCTGGTTTCATAGCTGTTCTGAACACCTTTGCATTTGGCTACTTAGACAGCTAGAGTTTACTTTTGTATTCTTCCTATGTCTAAGACAAGGACGGAAAAAAAGGAATTTTCTTCTTTCTGGGAGGAATAAAAAAATCTCTGATAAATATATTCAAAATAATTTTGCTTATCTGGAGAGATCTGCAGTGCTTGAAAAATAAACTGCACTTCAACACACTCCTTGAATGATTTTCTCTGCTCACAGGGGCATATAATTTAAGCTGTATCCATAGATTTATACTAAAAATGTTCAGTTCCACCTGTTTTCTTATTCTAATAGATCCCCCACAAGACCTAGGGACAGATACATATGACAAAAGAGTAATTTAACAGGATATAAATATGAAAGATTTAAGAATGGGTTTGGCTGGGATTCTTAACACTCAGTGCATGTCTGTACTTATGATTTCAGAAGACTTTGAGACTTAACCATGACTTAAAAAGATAATAGTTTAGCTTACAAAGCATATCTAGTTTCAGTTTGCTTCTCTTAACATATCCAATGCCATAGGAAGTATTCTAGAATATTTTAATGACTATAAACTACTCAAAAATATTGTAGCCTAATTAGTTCCACTATTGCAGAGATGCAGGTTGTGATTTTAGTATTATATGCAAATTTTAAGTTCACATCCTTTTAGAACAGCTTTGTGCAGAAGCACTGAGTATAGACTTTGTCAGCATATTCATATTTCAAGACAGTTTTTATTGCTATACTTATATTACTTCTTAATACAATATGCTTGCAATTTTGTAGCATTTTTTTGCACTCACTGATTTGCTCTCATGATGCTGTTTTATTTGTGGCTATGTGAAGTACTTCTTTTAGAACTAGCTAAGGTTCTGAGAATATTAAGTGGCATCATCATGGATCTACACCAACTCTCAAGCACTGTTTGAAATCAAGCACTACATATATTTGCTAACCAAGTCAAAGTGTCATTTGTATAGGAGTACTTTTCATATTTTATGTGATATGTAAGCATTTGGTCATAGTTGCATTTCTGTTTTGAGTATAACAATATATTTATTGATAAACATAACTTGTTCAAAATTATTTCCTCAAATAAGACAGATAGACTTTCTAAATTTTCTTATGCTAATGTTTTATTGCCACTATTTACAAAGGCAACATTTCTCTGTGAATAGTATCATTCAAAAGAAGACCTTAGGAGTCATTACTGACCTTTCAACATCTTCTCCATGTTAGCAGGTATCAGGTAAATTCCCTCCAGAACATTCTGTTGGCATCACGTATAAGCCAAAATAAATTAACGTCATTTAATTCAAATGAAGTTATGAAGTAATTTATTGCATAACAATTTGCTATCTGGTCACCTCAATTGAATCACAGCATGTCCAATATTTTCAGTTGAATTCATAGGTTCTTCAGGCTCTGGAGGTCCTGATGGGCCATCAGGAAATTATGCCAAAAAAGAAAACGGGAAAATACTATCATAAAGTCAGATTGGAATTTTCATGTTCTAGGTAAAACTCTGAAGTTATAATTATACATAGAGTCTTTGAGAATATTTGACCACATTTATTAGTTAGATCAGTTAGTTCCTCATGGCAAACCATTTTTAAAATATTGGATTTATTTTGTATATATGTTATTTTGTATATATGTGTGTGTGTGCTTGTGTGCATATGTATGTGTATTTGTGTGCAGGTGTATGTATTCACACATATGTGTCTTCACCTTACTTTTTGAGAAAGGATCTCTCACTAAACCTGAGCACAAAAATTTGCTGGTCAGACAGTTTCTGGGATTCTGATGTCTCTGCCTTTCCAGTGGTGGTATTGTTGTCATGTGCCTCTACACCTATCCTTGCATGTGCTTATATATTATTTGAACTCAGGTCAAGATTCAAGCTGATGTCCTCTGGTTTTGCAACAAGCATTTTACCCATTGAGTTTTCTCCCTATACCCATGTCTAATTTTGACAGTATAACAAGATATGACATTGTCACCTACTAAATTCATGCTCAAGCATAGAAGTTACCAAAAATGCAAAAAACATTTTAAGTGAGTTTATTGTTTTTTCTTGATCAAATTAATAGCTTTCCTGTGTTGAAGCAGTCCATGGGCCAAAGGTGGCATATCTGGAGAACCTCATTGTCATAATCCATTTTCTGAGAGAAATTTTCTCTGTAAACAAAAATATTCTGCACAGACATAATATTTAAGGGAGCAAGAAGGATGAGTGGATAAGAAAATTAGAAATTATTAATTACCTCAGATAGGAGAACAACACCAAATTTTCATAAGAGTATCTGTAATTATTTTAGAAACTTAATCTTCAAAAGTGAAGTTCGAAATTCATGATTTCTATTAGGACTGGGTAGAAGGTGCTGCTTCCACATGGACAGCAATGTGTGGCATCGTGGTAGCATATTGCCCTTATAGTTTTCTAGATGGCTCACAGATCTGAGAAGCTCTGAATTCAAGTCTTCTGGACCTGCAAATTTAGCTGCCATATTTCATTGGCATAGACTTGATCTTCCATATATGACTTCTTCCTATGGGCTTGGAGTAAGGAATAAGTATTCTGTTATAGTTGTAGTTCAGAAGATGGCAGATACTCAATTTGTTCCTTAATGCTTCTTTCTTCATCAGTTACACCTTGTTTCTTTTGTTTCACTACATCCTTATATTTATTGTTTGCATTTTTTGTATGTGCATGGTCATGTGCATCTCATAACTTTCAAATGAGGGTCAGATGACAACTATCGGAAGTTGTTGCTTTTCTCCCACCATGTGGGTCCCAGCTATGATGGGACTCAGGTTGTTAGATTTAGGAACAGATGCCCTTATCAATGAACCATCTCTCTGGCCCAATTTTTAAATTACATATTAATCTATCAAATATTCACCAAGATAGAAATTCTTATGTTAAATACTAAAGCAGGCAATAGCAACATATACTGCTTAATTTTAAGGAAATTATTTAATGTCTCTCTTCGTTAGGGTTTCATTGATGTGATGAAACACCAGGACCAAAATCAACCTGGGGAGGAAAGGGTTTATTTCACTTACTTTTATGCAACACAGTTCATCATTAAAGGAAGTCAGGGCAGGAAACTTGCAGACAGGAGCTGATGAAGAGGCCATGGGGGTGGGTACTCACTGGCTTGCTGTTTGTGCCTTGCTCAGCCTACTTTCTTATAGC